AAAACCGAAGCATGATCTCTGGGGGCACTCTAATTACGAAAAATATTCCCAAAAATCTAAAAGGTTCCATTTCACCAAAAATTACCCACTGATATACATTTGTAATTTCTGGGCTCAAATAATACTGCACTAATCTAGTTGGACAACCCCATAATTATCCTCGTTATACTGATCGATGAAAAACCATCGAACAAAGTTTGGAAAAATGATTCATGGGAAGACACGGTAATTTCTTTTTTAAGTATGTGTAACACGTTCCCACAGACATCACAGTTTCATCGGTTTAACTTACCTAATTCTGGCGACGTTAAAACACAGATACATTTTGCAAACATGAATTGTATTTTAATTAGTGAATTGCAAAACTCTTTCTTTGTATAGTCCTGAATGGAACACGTATATACTACAATGGAAGCTTCAAGTTGTAGACCTAATAAAATAAGATTTTTTTTAGAGGTATATCCTTATTGTTTCGGCACACTTAAATTGGCGACATACTAACAAATTGAGATGTTTATCAAATTAATCAATGAGGTGATTGATTTGTGTTTACTTGCAGTAACTTTCTAACTGTACACGAGAAATTAGCATGGAGGAATTTCTATGCGCAAAAATAATATCAAATTAATTTAATTGCACCTCTTTTATTTCCCTAATTATCGCTATTTAATTCATAGATGATATTCGGGAAGCAAAGCATACAGTGAAAGTGTTTTCATAATTAAGTCAAATATAAATAATTAATAAAGCCATAGATTACTCAATCGAGTAAATACGATGTAATTGTAGCCTCGTTGCTTCACTTCGACGATTATGTTTTTGGAGCAAACTGATGGCACATCGGAATGGCCTTGCGTTGTCGAAGATCATTAAACTACAAGTCGATTATAGAAAGTGAATTACCATTCCTTTCTGCTGCAAGTGACTCAAATTGGGGACGACCCATTGCAGATTATATCTCTGGTACTGTTATTGCCATGAGAATCGAAAATAGACAAACTATAACATCAAAAAGGACGTCTCGGAGTTGTTCTGCGTTAACACTTCCGGTTACCCGTTACTTTCATCATCTTATTTGCGAGATGAGAACGTTTCTACACCATAAACAACATTTTAATTCAAATCCGCTATTTTATATTAATAAATTAGAAGTCATTAACTAATATTGAGGATTAATTGAGGTTAGTGGTCCATCGATGTCAACATCCTCATGATGTTACCAGCCGATATAACACTAACTTTCATTGTCTCTTTAGCATTAACTTGGACGCAGAGCGTTATAACATCAATTTTTAATTAAAATTTAATATTTCCGTGGCTTCATTACATAATCGGGTTCATAGTTATCTCCTACTAGTGTATAATAGATAACTTTTACATTTAATTAAATCAATTGTGCGAAGTAGATGCGAATACGTAATCTTTCACATGACTTGCTATAATTTTAGCTCGTTTGTTTCTTCCAGATATACACTATACAGGCTGTTTCACGCAAACCGTTACCTAAAAGTATTTAGACTTCCATTAAAAATTTAAATCTGAAATTTGCATACCAACATAGTTTTTCATGATCTATCGAAGGAAAATATTATCATGATTCATGATCATGTTACTGCTTGGTTTCTATAGTCTATAACTTTTGATTGAGAAGTGTGATCGGAAAAGTACGAATTGATTTGGATTCTACGCACCCAAATTAATAAGAAAAAGTGTTTTCCCGAGAATTTTTGGTGAAGTCGATTTTTGGTAAAAAAGGAAGGCTATACATACACTGCCTTTTTTTGCCCCGAAAAAAAAATTGTCTCAGATCGACCCGGAAAAAAATGTTTCTTATAGAATGTGGCCTGTAGAATCCATAATTTCAAACAGTTCCAAGATTGGGCTACTAGTTCAAAAGTTACAGCCCTTTGAATTTTTTTTCGAAATTGGTTTCTAGTCTATAACTTTTGAATGAGAAGTCTGATCGAAAAAGTACGAATTGATTTGGATTCTACGCACCCAAATTAATAAGAAAAAGTGTTTTCCCGAGAAATGTTGGTGTAGTCGTTTTTTGGTAAAAAAGGAAGGTTATACACTGCCTTTTTTTGAGCCCCGAAGAAAAAATTGTCTCAGATCGACCCGGAAAAAAATTTTCTTATAGAATGTGGCCTGTTAGAATCCATAATTTCAAACAGTTCCAAGATTGGGCTACTAGTTCAAAAGTTACAGCCCTTTGAATTTTTTTTGGAAATTGGTTTCTAGCCTATAACTTTTGATTGAGAAGTCTGATCGAAAAAGTACGAATTGATTTCGATTCTACGCACCCAAATTAATAAGAAAAAGTGTTTTCTCGAGAAATTTTGGTGTAGTCGATTTTTGGTAAAAAAAGGAAGGTTAACTTATTTTAAATGGAACAATAAACATATTGTTTCATGTTTAGATTCTACGTAAAATTTGGCTCTTTTGACATATTTTAATTTTTATGTTAAAAAGAACATTTGCAGCTCAAATGATAGTGGTGTTATTATTTAATTGGGGCTGATTGTCTTTTAGAAGAAGTTCCGCTTTAGTCCTGGCTTTAGTGAACTGTTGTTGATATTTTTATTATAAATAAATACAGGGGATTCAAAAGCTAACATTAAAAATTGAATTGAAAACACTTTTTAAAAGGAAGCCCCTGTGTTTTAAGAACGAAAAATTAAAGTAACTATTTATGAAGTAATCTATTCCAAAAATTCGAAAGATTGGGTCATTTAATTTTTTCTATTGCAAAGAATGCCCTTAAGTCTGGTTTTAAGAATTTTTGTTATTTGACGATGACTAGTCGTAATTCCTTTAGTGCTTGATTGTTTTTTTTGAAGTAGTATTTTCTTATTATTCCCAGTTTAACCGAAAGTGGCGCTAAATTTAGAAATTCATATGGTTACACACCGTGTTTTTAAAGACAATTTTTTTATCTGATACGGTGTTCTCGATAATGTATAGGTATTCGAAGAGTTAATTAAATTTTATTTAATGGCCACTTTTACCTCATTTATTTAATAACTACGGACCTATCATCGTTGTCAGAATGCAGTTACGGTTGTTTTAAGTGTCGTTGGAATAGTCTAAAAGGCGAAAAAAATCACCAATATAGTGATAGTCTCCTTTTTAATCAATCTCATCATACAGGTTGTTAAAAATCAGTGGCGGCTAGTCCTAAACATTTTATGACAGATGGTATCAATAAACTTTCCTTCCGCCCTTTCGCAGGCAGGTTAGACGTACTGTAAGGCTTAAAACTATCTTCCAGTGCACAGTCTGTCGGTGCCCCAAATACGAGTACAATTTGCTTCATTTGCTTGACTTCGATTATCTCCGTGTACGTGATTTCACGTCGATTTGGGGTTGTGTGCCCCTGTACACATTTAACTGTTGTGCGTAGCGTTCTTTTCTTTTCTTTTCAACCGCACGTATACACGTAACTTTGCATCATAATTTACATTGATTCAGATCAGGTCTTGCCTCAAACGGTTTTTGTTGTATCGTACACATTTTATGTCATTGCAGTTTTTGGCTTGGTTGTAAAAGTCGAAATTTTTTCTTTCGTACTTCAAATGTTTGCTTTGAGAAAACCATTGTGCTCATGAAATTTATGAATTTTTTCACATTTTTAGAATGTTCAATAGAAATTTTAGCATAGAACTGCCTGGAATGGAATTTTACGTGCCTGCCGACAAGTTTGGGTTAGATAAGAATTCCGCTTCGGGTATGGGAATTTCGACGAATTTACCACACATTTAAAGATAAAGAGAAAAACAAAAGAATAGATTCCCCAATTATTTTTCACGAACTCGAAAATGTTTTAGGGATATTTTGTAGAAAATAGAAGGTCTGGACGATACTCTGTCGATGGAGTCATCACTTTGTGTTAAATTGTGCCTGTGTTCTCAAACTACATTGACTTTTTAAATTTTCTAGCATTGCATAAATGCTAATTCTTACACTTAACGATCAGGATGTGGATGTTTTTAAGGGTGAGTAGCTGCTAAATTATATAAATTAAATAGTTAAAGAAGGAGAGTTGTGGCGCAATGTAAATCTCCATAAGCGCAATGTATTTCTTATGGGCGATTTCGTGTACAGTATCCTAATTTGCGGTTTCCTGTAGGTATATATTTTATTTGTGCGTATTACGCCTAAAATGAGTGATGTCCGCAATTCTATCAGTAAGTGATGCATGCATCCGCGATTTTCTCCTATAAAAGACAATCTTTAATGTTGATTATGAGTATCTATCAAGTCTCGCTTACTGCAATAATGGTTCGCAATTTAACAAAATGCCAGTGGTTGCACTTGCAGGTGTACCAGTTTGTGCCAGAGGTAAGAAAAACTATTATGATTTTAAACATTGTTTATAATCTTATAGGGAGATACTCTTATGTGTCCATGTGCACATTCCCTGCATTATAATGAGCAGAGGGATGTGCTGTTATACATGGAACCTTTCTTTGGAGACTATTTCGTATGGTTGTTTGCAAACAGTTTGCCTGAAGGAAGGAACATTGCGTACTGTAAGGTTGGACCGTAAGTTTTTGTTTTTTTTTCAAATGCACATATTTTATGAATCCTAATTATATTATTGACTCAAAACTAAAATGAGTCAAAACTAAGACAAAATCACAAAAGGGGCTTTAGTATTGATACTTCATAGTTTGGCATATACCTGGCGTCGCCGCCTGTCCCAGGATTTAGTCAACTGTCGTGGGGGTGCGTCCCTGGTAAGCACTATCAGGGGCGTTTCACCACTACTTTATTGCCATCGCGCTGGGCCGCGACATATGCCAAACAATGTGGTGGATTTTGTGAATTGGGGCGGTTGTGGGGGGGAGGGGCTAACTAGGTGTTATTTTTAAAAACATTTTTATGATTAAAAAATAGTGATTTGCTAAATAGCAAACAATGGATATGCTACAAAACATTTACTTAAGGGATGTCTATTCAAAACAGAAAACATTTTACAAGGTGGCTTCTACCTAAAGATGAAGTAAGGCAATTTTTATTATTTTAATTTGCTGTTGGTCACTAGACATAACATCTACTTTGTTTCTTTGCAATAAGATTTCTTTGTGCTATTAATAGCAAAAACTGACCTTGTTGGCCATTATGTAACCTATATATTTGTTTAAATGTATAATCGTTATAACACCTTTAAACATATTATTTGGCATCGCCCGAAGCTGGCGTTTGCACTACTAGCGAGCTTACCAGCTGAAAAATCAAGAATTAAATTTTTGTTGAGACCAGGTACGCAACCTCATACTTTGATTTCTTCGTCCACTTCACAATTGGCAAGGTTTGCCGCAGTTTTGCATGGTTCGTCTTCGTTAACCACTAAAAATACAAACTTTATGACCTCAGACGACAAGCAGCTCTGGTTAGGATGAATCAATGCACTTAGTTCAAAGTTCAAAATGCGGTTTCGAGAATCATGGCCAACTTTTCGAATGTAGCCGTTGACTTTTGTAAAACCGAAACTGGTTTTGTGCAATGAGTTTTGAAGAAGATGCATTTATCTTTTGGTGCTTTATTCGGAAACTTTCCAGGGTCACCGAGAAGTTGACTATGATTTTCCGAATGCGTTCAGGGATGCGATGAAAATGAATTTTGGTACAAAGGCATACATGGGATCACTTCGAGTGCCCCATTTTACATGGCTACTTCAGAAAGTAAATTTACCTGATGACGTGCACTTGTGAACAACCGTCTTCAACCAACCATACGAACTTTCTTTGCCTATAAACGTGTCAACAACCGTTTCATTTGTATGACCAGCTTCATCTATCTAAAATTTGATACATTGCCCTGCTGGTAATTTAAAGACAAAAACGTACCAAACCAGCCTTTTTGTACATACAATCCAAAAAACACTGCGCGTCCTTTGAATCCGTTCCATTTGTGAGAATTGTCACTAAAAACCAATAATCAGTCATTAATCCATGCGAAGTACTTACATTTGGGATCCAGTTGAATGCATTCCGCTAAAGCACCTTGTACATTCACTGCCGTATAGATAATAACGGCAACTCCTTTAACTGCCATTACACAAAACAACAATAGGATTAAATTTCGAATCATTTTTTCAATATTCTGACCAGCTGCACTAAACAAATCCTTCCAACAACTTCTGGCTGTTTTGCCGGGTGAGTTATTTAAATATCGCTAACTAGGCCGCTAATTGGGTAGTACGTTTAATTTTCTTTACTACCGCGTTATTTTATGTTCAATTATGAATAATTGATAATTGATTTATTACGTGGTTTACATACAAAAGTTATGGTACAATTAGAGATAAGCACTATGTATGCTTCTTAAAGTAGATCTTTGCGTAATTACGCCAATTAGTTTTGGCAATTTATAAATAAATAAAGTAATAAAGATGGTTGCGAGGGTAGCGCCAATTAACGAACGTAACTTGAAAAGATGAAAAAGGCAAAAAGATCTTACGTTTCGGTTCAAACACACCAAAGCGAGAATGATACCCTCTAAACAGCGTCTTTACCTTTTATAAAATTGGAGTATGCCATGAAGGGAACGCTGCAACCAGCCCAGTGTATTCGGATAAGAAGGTTCAAAAATTAAAACTTTTTTAATTAATTAATTAAACCTCCCGCTCTGCAATTATTTAAAATTCCAAATGACCGAATTATACCATTCCTGATATACAGGGTACATATACGTATATAAAAAAATTTTGGATGATGGTGATCAAAACAAGCCCTTTTTCCAAAAAACCGAGGGTCCAACGTGTTTCGTTTGGGAGCCTTCCATACAAAAGTGGTGAAGTTTGCATTTCTTCTTTAATTTTTTTCTCAGCAACTATAAGAGTTAGAAAGACTGGTGGGACGTCTTTGAATAGGTTTTCGGGTATGCCCTTTCCGATTTTTCAAAAAAAATTTCAAAATTCCTACCACGAAATGATATGTAACACCTGTATTAAATTAACTACATCAATCAATTTGACAGATTCACTTATGTGAGTTTGCAAGGTGTGCGTCTTCTAGGGACTTTGGACACCCAAAAGTTTCTTAGTGCTCTAATCGCAATCTCTCTGGTGTCGACAATAGAAGCTCGAGCTATGAGTGCACCAAAAATTGATATTTCTGTGGAGGGTTTATAGCGAAATCCACCAAAATGTGAATTGCTAGTGAACGGGACCTCGGATGCGGGTATCGACAAAGAGAATGTGGTGAGCTTCGACAAGATCTTATTGATTGTGGAGCCAAAACTGGCTAATGGGGTACTGATCTTTCACACAAAAATACGCTGAAGTCCCTTAGATCTCACACGAGAACTTGGATAATTTTTTTAATGTAGACTTCACATTTCACTCAAACACAAATCAATCCAAGCAAAAAATAAGGAATTCAAAAGTATTTGGTTAAAACGTTGAAAGAATTAATGTTTATTGCTTTATATTAAAAAATTATAAACTCTTGCGTCTTCTTGTTTAGTTTTGCTTTGCTTTTAAGGGCCATAACAGCTGGTTATTTGAAAATACATATTTTCCAACTGTTGTTCAATTTTAAATTTCGCGGTTCCTGAGAGGAGCCTAAATGGCTGCGATTCGCGTTACTTTAATCTAGGGACTTTAATTACTTCATTACTAAATGTCATTCGGATATTTTCCCCATTTCTTAGTATGGATATGCTTTCGTATAGCTACATAGTATTTCATCCCTTGCAGTGAGACGAATAATGAGGAAGAAGTGCCGTCTCCAATTGAATTAAATTAGATGTTTAAACCTGTAATTTTAACACTTTTTATACACATCAACAAGGAAAGACATTAAGATCGCCCGGGTTACTTTCGTAGACACTTAATATCTACATCTTGAAAAAAGTAATGGTCACTAACTGCTTGATCACTGAAATAAGTTACAAAAAACTAGGTAGTGAAAGGTTTGCGACAAACTGGAAACACAACCCACAGGAAAACTTTTTGCAACGAAAATACTCACACTGGGTGCAACCGAAAGTGATTAAAGCACGCCAATTGCTAAAAAACAGTTACACTCTCGTTGAAAATAAATACGTTACCGTCAGTGATAGTGTTCCGCTCGAGCTGTCCTAAATTCGACAACGCAGCGCTAGCAGGTGAAGACGACCCACCACATTTTAAGAACACGCTATAAAATCATTAAATATACATAAGAATTTTAGAGATGGGAAAGTCCATGCATTAGATTACAATTACTTCCGACTCCCGACAAAATTACTTTCAAAAATTTATTTAAAACATGAAAAATCCAGCCGCATTACGTTGCGGTATTTTATAATTTTTAATTCAATGTATAATATAATGCATTGTAATGGTAATGGAACGTACCTCTTCGCGGGTCACCACCTGAAGGCAAAGCAACTTTCTATAAGCCCCTTTCTTCCCACACTAAACTCTTCGGCGACCCTTCTCTTCGGCCTTTACAAGATCACAGCTTCTGGAACGTCTTCAGTCTTTATTCGCGATGGTGTCTTGCTTTGCGGTCATAATAGAAATGTTATAGCTGGTGAGAAGTGCCCTCGTAGTGTCTAAGGAACTTATTTACAAAAATGTGGATTAGAATCGAAGTAAGTGTCAATTGTGTATTTGAAATGGTGCTGCGTTTATAATTAAGCTAAACAATATATTGTCATTAACTGTTTTAATTCTAGATTTATTATAAGTTATAGTTAGTCACGACCTAATTTTTGTGATTTACCGTTTGCGGTAATAGTATAAATTCATCTTCATTTAAGATGATCAGTACCACTAGAAAAAATTAAACGTATAGGTAGGTAACGATGAAATTGTGGGTCTGTGTGTCACTACTGTCAGTATTGTAACTTTTTCTTCTTAATTCCGGTTCTCTTCAGAAGGTTTCTCAAATACCACGCTTCTTTAAATTGAGGCGTGGGTTACTCATAGAATACCCATTTTCTATACTGAATTCTTTTTATTGGAAAATTGTTTACGAAACCTTAAAGGAAAAAGTAGTTGTGACAATATTGAATACTCGTGTCACTCAATGCACGAAAAGAAACCTCAATATCACGTGTACACTTCATATGGCGATTCTTTTCTTTGTAAAATGGTAAAGGATGCACGTTTTTAGAAACACTAGGTACACCGGTAATACTCAATTACTTTTTTAATGTTCATTTTTACCTTTAAATTATCTAAATGAATTTCAACTTTTTTCAGCATTGAAATGTAAATCATTCAGCAGTAACCTCCGTTGAATAATAATATACCGGTAAAGTCGATCTAAATAATGGATATTTTCAACCCGCAACCCTGCTGAGATACAGCCGAAAAAATCCAATTTTTTGCACAATTTTCAGTTTTTCGTCCAAAAAGCACTAAACAAGCTCTTCCTATTGCTAAAGTTAACGATTACGTTTTTTTAAAGTAAAATTTTATGTATTTTGTGAAAAGACAAAGATTAATACGGTCCACATTCAAAATTTTGTAGAATCTATAGATTTTGTGATTCTGTAGGTATATATTGTAGGGTTTGTAGTTTTTGTATGAGCTATAGATTCTACAGACTTTAGACCTGCAGAGCTTACATATTGTGAAGCTTCAGTAGATTCTGCATATTCTCTTGTTTTTATAGATTCTACAGATTTATATCCTGTGTAGAATCTGTGGAATTTACCACACCTACGGAATTTACGGTAGCTACGGAATCTTCGAAATCTACAAGATCTACAGAATTCATAAAATTTACGGAATCTATGCACGTTACAGAATAGACAGAATGTTCAGACTATATACCGAATCTATAGAATCTAAGGATAAAAAAGGTCTACATATTTTGTAGGACCTATAGAATCTACAAAACCTCTAAAATATGTAGAATCGATAAAACCTCCAGAATCTACAGAATTTATAGAATATACCGGACTAACAACAAAATCCACATTATGGTCCTATAGGTTCTACTAATTGTGTGACCTGTCAGTTTTATAGATACGGTAAAATCTATAGATTCTGTAGATTTTGTAGGATCTACATTTTTTTTCTATCTTCAATTTTTGTAAATTCTGTAGATCTTATATATTCTGCCAGGGATTCTGCTGATGCTGTAGATTTTATAAATTTTGTAGATTGTGTAGATTCTGTAGTTTTTGCAGACAGGTCCTTAGACTCTGCAAATTATCCTTAAACTCTGTAGAGTTTAAAGGTTCTACAGATTTTTTCTAGTTTTCTTGGTAGATCCCGTGCATTTTACAGAATACAAATTCTGTCGATTCTATTCTATAAAACTAGATACGTCTTAGATTCTGTAGATTCTATAGATTTTGTAGATTCTGCAAGCTATTTAGATGTTGAAGATGTTGTAAACTCTTTAGGTAGTGCAGATTCTTTGTAGCGTATTTTTTAAGACTAAAAAAATGTGCTATTGTTTGCGTTTTGGCCATCCTTATGTCCATCTGATCTGTTCGACCGTCCGGACCCACTTTACATGCCCTCTGAAGCATGCCTTTTGGTGCCAAGTAAAACTTGAAAATGTGGAAGGGGGACAAGGGTGAACACACGTTCTACCCTTCATGGTATTCTAATGCAAGGTCACATTAAAATGAATTGGTTTCTATCAACTATAACTTTCACCGCGACTCCTTTTCGAGTACAGTGGGTGAGGGGGGGAGGTAGGGGGTAGAAAAATTTAGCTCATGGTATTCTAATTAAAGCTCTCCACAAAAGGAATTGTTTTCTACCAACTACCGCATTTCTTTCTTACCCCTTATCAAAATAGGGGGTTCGGAGCTAAGGGGTGAGAAACTGGTTTTATCCTTCACGTACTCTAATGAAAGAGTCAACGAAAGGAATCAATTTGTAGCAGCCATAGTCCTCCTCGACCCTTTATCATGATCGGGCTGGCAAAGAAACATATTCATTGGTGATGACAAAACTTTAAAGCCGGCCATACACGGTCCAACGCCGTTGTACAACAATGTCGGATGGAATTATCGTACGAAAATCGTGAAAATTGAATACAACCATACACGATCCAACAACGTCGTACGATAGAGTTGGATGTGATTTTTTTTAAAAGATCGTTCACACTGTACTCAACAGTGCTTGCGACTATGTCGGATGATCTTGTTGTATTAGGAAATCAAATATATAAACAATTGTAGGTGGATACTTACATTTCGCAAAATAACAGCACTAACCTTCTATTTATACTCTAACTGACTGCATTAAGAATATTAAGATTAACACAATATGATAATAATAAAGGTTTTTAATTTCGCTGTGTACACGGATTCTGTCGGACCGACTTGATTGTAAGCGCGCATACACGATCCAATTTCGTCCAACTGCGTCGCATACAACTCGATTGTACTGCAGCACTCAGACAAGTTTGATATTCATTCTCATCCAACCAACTTAGTCGGATGTGCCCATACACAATCAAAAATCGTACAACTTAGTCGAATTCGACAAGATCGTACGACGGCGTTGGACCGTGTATGGCCGGCTTAAGAGCGAATATCTCGAAAGCGTTTGGCGGGAGAGAGTATTCACAAGAACAAAATGAATCGTCTGGACAAGACATATCTACTGTGCGACGAACTAATAAGCCGCGCACAAATGGCATGAACAATTAAATAAACATTAGCGGAATTATGATTACAATTGACCTGGTCCAGGTCGGCGGTAACAGCAGTTTGCGAGACGTACTCAATCACAGTAAACGGCAACTCCAGGAAGCGGACGAGTTCAGCCAATGGCGGAGGTCACTTCGAAAAAACTAAAACAAAATTACGGCAAACTCCCTAGCGGGAGTGAAACCAAGAAATATAATGCATTAGCGGTGTCTACGGGGAAGTAAATGCAGGAAAGCGAAACAATATAAAAAAACTTATCTTGCAATAAAACGGAGCGGTACAAATGACTGTGCAAAAATAGCAAAAGCTGTAGATACGGTGCAATAAACTTAATGTCAAAGCAAACGGTACGAATGTAAAATAAAATTTACGGAAAAGCTCACAATTATGGTACTCATGAAAGGTAACTGGCGAGGGTGCAAAAGATCAATGATTTACGAACGTAACCTGAAAAGATGCAACAGGCAAGAAGATCCCCTGCAAACTAAGCGTTTGCCATATATAAACTTCCCAAAATGCAGAGAGGCAACGTAGGAAAATCCGGGCCGGCCAGCGTATTCGATTAATGCTGTCCAAAGATTCAAACTTTTTTAATTTATTCTTTAATATTTAGAAGCTGTTAATTGCACTTACTTAATTGGCCGGATTGAAATGTGTAAAGTCGGTAGTCCAGGTTCATTGTTAATTGAAATTCCTCGGGTTGGCATAAAGATGGCATGATCTTGCAGTTTTTTTTATTTTTGGACATTATTTTGAAGTGGGCGGGGTTTCAGTTAAGGCTTTGAAATTACCATAGGAAACAAAAACCTGCTAATTATGGCTCAACGGAGCGGAAATTCTAAAATATTTACTTCCCCGCGTTTTCTAAATGACACGAGATTTCGGACGCAAATTTCGGAATTTTGACGGTTGGTCCGCCCCGATTCCGTCTGGACAAATGTGCTTCTAACTTTGGCTATGTCGGTTGCGCCTTATATGCACGAGAGTTGTGCACAATTGATACTACAGCATCTGCAGAAAATCTACAAGGTAGACGAAATTTATGACACCTATAGAACCTACAGAACTTAGAAAAATTTACGGAATTTATAAACAATGCATAAACAGATGCATCGACATTATACAGAATTTATAAGATCTGCAGAATCTCTTTAGCTACCTTAAACACTGTAGATTCTTCCAACTCTTTGAATTACACGAGTTTGTCAGTTTTTGCGGATTTCAGGTTCCTTCAGTTACGTAAAATATTGCAAGATCTTTACATTCTTCGGTTTTTTCTCGTTCTTCACATTTATCTCATTTTTCACATTGTCTACATACTTCAAAACTTTCGATTATTGAGATTTCTTTAGATCCTTCACATTCCTTCAGATTGTTTACAATTACATCGTTGGGAATTTTAGATTTCTACGAATTCTTTGCTTCTTCATATTGCTAGAATCTTTCGGATGGTTCTTCGGATTACATAAATCTTCTATGTGCTTCAGACTTCAAAATTGAAGCTTTTGTAAATGCCAGAACGAACTCGAAAAGGTTTATGCTGAAATGTGCAGCTAACTGGACTTTTCCAGAAGTTCGCTATTTCCATAATGGAAACTCCAACACTAAGGTATTCTAGTTCTACCCCTTTTTTATACAACACGTTAAAAAAACTTTAGAAGTGTAAGAGAAAGTCCAGAAATTTGAACAAAAAATTCAGTACTTCAGGTAATTTTATAAAGTTTTAACCAAATTTTTGTAAAATAAAAATCTCGATAGTCTTCAAAAAATTTCTGAAATTACGTGAGAAATGGTATGTTATTAAATACCATACCCAAAAATTTCCAAGTGTTTGACAAACAATTATAAAATACCACCCCTATTATATCTAAGAAATGTTATAGCTTAGTATGTTATTTAGGAAAACATTAAGCGCTTTTGTTGGATTTTAAAATCAAAAATGTATGCCTTTAGATACGATATAAAATAAAAGAAAGTTTGTAAAGGAATTAAAAAGTCTAATACAGAAAAAGCGAATTTCGAATTGTATAAAAAGTATTTAGAAAACGGTAAAACAACTCAATTATCGTTAAAATCTTGAAACTGTATACATATAATTAAATCAAGGCGCCCTTTCACCTTATAATGGTAAGAGATATTTAATTGATAATATTAATGCACTTCCTTTTGGTTATAAATTTTCCTCTTACCATTCTGGAAGTGAATGAAATGGGTACTTCGGACACAGCTTTTCAATAATTTATTTACACGGGTCTTTTATTTTTAATGTACTTTGTAGGTCGGAAATGAAAATTAAAGCCGGGGTAATTGAATAATCACGTATTTTTTTACAGTTTTTAGAAATATGGTGGTGTTTTTGCAATTTACAAACTATGCACAAGGGGTTACTACCTCAAATTTACACAAGAAACTAATTTCTTAGATAATAGAGATTGTCACTTTGACCTCTCGTATACAGATTCGAAATTTGATGAAAATTTTATTGAAATTACTTGATTTTAACTCTGACCTTTTTGAAATTTCTAAACTATTTGTTAAAGTTCCAAGATTTCTGTATTTTTTATTATAACATTCTGAGTAGAACTCGCGCATTATGTAGGTACTACTTCCGGCATTTAAGACTTAAAGGAATTAAGACTGTTGTAGCAAAACGGGACACGTATTGTACATGAAGATGCGAAGGTTTTCGTAAAAAGCTACGTATTCAACGCTTTAGAATCCTCTCTTATATTGTAGGTGTACTTTTTAGCGCATTTTTGCAAATTTATTTTGTAAAAAGTAGCTTTTAATCTCACTTTGGCTGGTTGGCTGTCTGGCTGGCTGGCTGGCTGGTCGGCTGGCTGGCAGCAAATGTGGGTGCGTAGAAGAACTCTTGTAGAAAGGCAACGGGTGTACGTGTATCTACAAGGCCGTGAAATTTGTCAACCTTAGGGACATGGCTACATGATGTGGGGTTGGCGACATCTGGGCGTCATCCTCGAGCGTAGTATACTAACGTGAAGGTTTTTCAGTTTTTTCCTATCTTTTACTACAGTTTTGGTCCGATTCTTTTCAAATTGGTGTCGTCGGAAAGATGTTGTAAACGCGCACAACTCCTGCGTGGCGGAATTTTGTTTTTTGGCCTAGAGGCGAAATTAACGACCTTTTGCAAGGCGCGCGCGCGCGTCTTCGAGAGGTAGTCAACTTCGGGCACCTTTTACCTTCCGTTGCGAATTCTGTCACGCGTTTTAACGTTTCGTAAATCTCGAATGGCTGTCTCTCTTTCTCGTGTCGTCAAAAGAAGCTCGAGCAATGAGAAGTGCCCCCCAAAAATTAAGTACTATCTTGTGGAAGGTTTTTAGCGAGATCCACCAAAATGTCTTATAAGTATGCACCGAAAAAGGAAATGTGGTAGCCTCCGACAAGATCTAACTGATGGTGGAGAAAAATCTTCAAACGCGAATTGCGGGTGAACGGGACGTCGGAACTGGGTACCGTCAAAGGGAATGTGGTATCCTTCGACAAGATCTTTTATTCATGGTTGAGTCAAAAGTGGCTAATAGAATAATCTGCCACACAAAATTGCGCTGAAGTCCCTTCGATCTCACACGAGGACTTTGATAATTTTTTTTATTTTATTTTTATTTTATTTATTTGTTTAACCAGAAACCATACAGAATAAAAATTCCAATTACATGGCACTGCGGCTCTGAACAAATATTAGGACTTAAGATCTAATTTGATTTATTATTGAATTTAGGGGATCGTAAAAAAGGTCGATATCATTAACTGAGGACAACTTATTTAAAGTGATCAAGATCTTAATAAGTGAGGAAGTTGTGTTGTTAACTGCAAAAATAGTATTATTTTGCCTTAGCTTAACAAATGGTACCTTAAGCTTCATTTCTTGAAGTAATTCGGAAGAGTTTAACAAATTGTGTAAAATTTTGAAGACTTTGGGCGTTTCTAAGGACTAATTCTCTCTTATGTTTTTACCAGGGCAGGATTACTTTGAGTTTATTTTTGTGGACAGTAGCAATCCCAAATTATTGCCCTTTGATTGTTGTATAGGTGGTTTCTTTTGATCTAAGGGAAAAGGAAAGGTACCTATGTTCAGGGAGCGCAAAAATGTGGGAAGTGGACAATTTTGAAATGTTCCAAAAGTCCCACAGGCTCTCAAGACCCCTTACCGTCGATGAACTGACCCTCATTGCCAAAGACTCTTAAGTCAATTAGCTGATAATGCTTCATTATAATACAGTACTTACTAGATATTTATGCTTGAAATGATTAAATTTTGATAGACAGCGGCTTCCAACCGATTACATTGTAACACTTCAAAAAAATTCGCGCTGCTTGGGCACTAATCCTCCTGGTTCTACTTAAACAATGGTGCATATAAACTAAACAAGATGTGATTACAGCGTGCGGTATTAAATTGAATTACCTTTAACAGAGAAGTTCTTAATTAGTCGTGGGTTGGTAGTCTTTCTTATATTATTACCTAGGAAATGAAAGTTTAAAAAAACGCTATATGCATTAAGTTTTTTAATAATTATGTAAAAATAATGCTATAATTCTTCTAAAGGTCTCGCTCAGTTACCTCCAAACAAACTCCCGAGCGTGAGTTATAAATTTACTTTGCACATCATAAATTAAAGTTACTTTCAATTATTTCTACTTATTTTCCCTAAATCTTAAGTATTTACTTAAATTTTGAGTTTTGAAATGCGTAATACGCATTATTAATACGTGAGAAGCTAATTATTGTTTAAGAATGTAATTAACAGTTGCTATCGCATCTCTAAAGAAAGTGCAAACTTATTATTATCTGAGAACCAAATGTGCTCGCAATATGTATATAATTTTCTTGTTTCTTCAACCTAAATATTTCCTCATTCTATTAACCTAATTTTTGTTTTGCAGGCTCTGCTATGTTGCATCCTCGCAACTACGTTAGCAACAAACGAATCTCGTTCTAAGAAGAAAGATGATTCTAGAGGCAAAAGAACTTTAGATTACACCATTTCTCACAACCACAGTCCAGGTCCGAACACTAGATTAGAAAGACGAATATCAGCTGGAATTCCAATTCCTCAATTACCGCAGTATCCTTTATTCTACCCCATCCAGAAACCCTTTGCTGTCTTCAGGAAAGGTCGACCAAATGCGCCTGCACCACCGTATGCGGTGCAAATGGAGCCCGTGGTCCATTATTCGCAACCCGATCCTCTGTATGATGAAAGCTTAGCTGACGGTACTAATGATTTGAAGTCGAGGGATCTGGTGAAAGAAGAAACACATAATTCTAGAGTGTCATATGCGTATCCTCCTGCGAAACACATTGTGGAGCGGCCAATTTACATTAAGGAGCCGGAGCCCATTATTGAAATTATTATTAAAGAATCAAATGTTACACTTCCACCGTTACCAACTCCCCCCGCTATTGTGGCGCCACGTAAAAAGGAACAAGTGCAAGTATTTTACGTCAAATATCAGAAAAATCCAAATGTTTACGGAAAGGATAGCATTGTTTATGACAAACCGGTCCCAGCGTTGACGCCGCACGTACGAGAGGAGGTTGAACCGGAACCACAGCCACTTCCACACTATGAAGCCTTGAATACCGCTACCCTTCCTCCGCCTCCTAGCACCACTTTACGTGCTATAGTAAAACCGGAGTCGGAAACATACCATGCTGATAAAGGTATTCACATTACTTTTGGTAAAACTATTAATGAGCAACGCAAACGATCTAACATCGATTCGAGAGGAGAGCCGACTCCAGAACAGGCTCACTCACGCGCTCAACCCCAAGCAAGGCAATATAATCCATATCCGTCTCAACCTCTTTACCCGAATAGACCACAGGAAAACGGTCATGTTCCACAGTTTAGACCAGAGAGTACTGTGCATCATAACGATTACAGAAATCCTCCTCAACCCGCTCCAATTAAACAAACGTCATTCAACAGAGGATTCTCTCGCGGGCCGTCTATCCCTGCTAATCCGCCACCTCAAGCAGTTACCAGATCTCCACACCCAAGCTTCACAAATCCACCTTTTCCACCACGCCCAACCTTTAACAACCAACCAATCCATCAGCGACAACCCGTTCCATATCAACCTTTTGAACAGACACATCCGCAACCGCCGCAGGTACAATTCCCCCGCACCCCAACGCATTTTCCAGTCAATCAACAAAATCAGCAGTTGAACAATGGTTTCCAGTTTAACCAGCAACAGTTCCAAAATTCTCAACGGCCCGAAGTCAACACACAGTTCCGTCAACAGCAGCCTACTTTCCCACAGGCCCAACATGCACAACAGCAGTTCATTCACCACCAACAGCAGCCGCATAATTCTCCACAGCAAGCTCCACATCAAAACCAAATCCCACAGCAGTTACATCAGAATGCCCCCCATCCTCAATCGCACTTCTCACACAATATCAACCATAACCAACAGGTGCACACGCCTCCACCACATCAAAACCAAATCCCACAACATCAACAGCCTCAATCGCATTTCCCACAACAAAATATCAACCATAACCAACATGTGCAAACGTCTCCTCCACATCAAAACCAAATCCCACAACATCAACATCAGAATGCCCTCCCCACTCAATCGCTTCTCCCACAACAAAATATCAATCATAACCAACAGATCCAAACATCTCTAATTCAAAATCAACAGAACTTGCACTTCCCTACGCAACAAAGACCTCAGTTCCCTCAACAACGTCCTTCTCAACCAGAGAACAATAGCGAATTGCTTCGCTCACTCCCCAAATATGAACAACACGTATCATTCAACGTACCATCAGCGCAAACCCAACCACAAAAGCCGGCCGTTCAACAACCTCAAGTATCTCACCACCAACCGCACGTAATTAACATTCAGTCCAATCAGCAAGACTACTCCCATTTAGTTCAACAGCAATTCAGACAAAACGCACCTCAACCGCAACAAAACGCCTTCTTCCACCAGACGCCTTCAAAACCAATTAGTACTTCCCCACCATCGACGACAACACCATCCACTACAACTGAAGGTAGACTCACTGAAAAAGATCTGAAGGAATTAAACATCCAGCTGCCCGACGAGGTCCCTGCGGACTTACGAGAGCAGTTGTTGTCGTCGGGAATTTTGAAGAACGCCCAAATTTCTGTGTTGGATTACGATAAAATCGGCGACACCTCGATTGCCGATCTGCCTCCGGATCAGTTGGCAAATTTTTTTAGCGCCGGTGGTGGGCAATTAGGTGTGGCAAGCGAAAACGTGCCGGTTGTTGTAAGGCCTAGCGGTGATTCTGATATGGAAGGTTCCGAATCGTCAAATGATGAGGTTAAAGTGCCACCACCCGTCGAAATGAAGGTGGTTCGCTACGATCCCGATAGTCGCGAGGGACAGCAAGTTCCCGAGGCTTACATCGAAGACGGGGCAAAGCAGCTGAACCCCGTGTCTCTCGATGATCAACAGTACACCAGGTATTTGCCCGTTAAAGTCAATGGTGCGGCATTTCCTATTCCCGACGTCCCCGAACTGAAGGGGCGGAATATTACTAGCGTGGTAGTACTGGCGCCTGTCGATTTAAACGTTGAAGAGCCTCCACGAAGGGCGCGCGACGTAAATCACAAAAATGGAAGGTACTTGGCTGGGGAAGCCCTCAAGAATTTGATTAAGCATCCGACAACAGAAAATTTCAGGGATTGGCTGGACAAAGAAAATAATACGATCGCGGAAAAGCAGGCGGTGATTCTTTTGGTTGCCGGGTAAGTCTGCACGCGCTTTCTACGGTTGTAAAAGTTGCAATCACTTTTTAGAAATTCTGAACCTAATACGGGAGACAAGGAGATATTTATGTACGATTTGGGGACGCAGACGGTAAACAAACTTAGCGGGGAATTGTCTTCCGCCTTTGTGGACGCGGCAGAGACGAATTCGGGCCAAGATCTATCACCTCTTCAAAGTGCCGCATCGAACGTGGTGGAAACCCGTATTCCCTATCCGAATGGGCAGTTGGAGAGGAAGAATTTTCATGACGGTTTTGATTTAGAGGAAGGGGCTTCGAAATTTTACGAAGCCAAAATTCCAGTGATAGATCCGGCGTCGGTAGATGGCATGTCAGCGGCCTCCGAGCAGTTTGAAAGGTTTGTGGACATTTCGGGAATGCCTATACATGGAGACCTAATTACAGCAGCCAGCGGCGGTACAAGGGAAGTTTCAGTAAGTTCCGGACATAGCAAGACTGGATCTAGTAAATTATAAATTATAGCGAAATATTGGTTATTATTTAATCACTGGATTTTTTGAAAAAAAGGATTGTTTTTTCAAAAAATTCACTGTCGCTTTGTACAGATTATTTTATACGTGTGTAAATTAAAAGGTTAGTTAAAATTTCGTTTTTTTTCTTTCGTGAAATGTAGACAGTTAAATATTCATTGCAGGTATAGAAAGAGATATTGGATGAAAAGTGTGACCTACTGTTGTAGATTATTGAAATTCGTGAACTAAAAGGAATATCGAGGTTATGTTAAATCAATTGCGTTTCTCTTTTTCTATTTATTTTTGTTTTCTAATAAAACACTACCACTAATCAATATTGCAAACACGGCATGAAAAGTGAACTTTTCCTTGGAATTGCCATTTCGAGTCTGGCATGTGTTGTATGTAGAACAAGCATGCTGCAGTCGTCTAGAAACTCCACTGTATTATATAAGGAGTAAATTCCTATCCTTCCCAAAGGAATTTCACGTTTTCTTTATAGTTAAAGTCTTCTCCCTTTAAGTTGTTTTATACCGAACACCTTTCCAACAAGACTAAAACATCAGATGATTAGTTTCAACTAATAGGAATACTTCTTGTGATTTACTTATGTTTTCGACGAAATGCCAGCAGCTTGATCAATGTTACCAGAAATGGGTCACTCATTTCATAATTTCTTAGGGTCAAGAAGTACACACATTCCCTAATCCATAAGTAAATTTTGACACATTTAGTTTGAAAGTTACGACTCCAAAATGGTCAAAGTTCGCCTTTCTATTTTATTTTTTTCTAGCACATTGATAGAATCAACAATTTTTAGGGGAATATTTCGAATAATCCCTTTATGTGATGGTGTTGTCCGTCTTAAAATTAAGTCTGCCTTCCTAATGCAAGTTGAGTGGTAAAAAATTCCTCTACTGAAAATCGTATGCTTTGTATTACATGCTTAAAGCTTATACAGGGTGGTGACTTGCGTAACGCATCATAGGGATTTCTATGTAAAATTCATAACATGCGATTATTGGCTCCCCAAATATTTTAGAGCAAAAATGTATTAAGGTTTTTTGTAGAAAAAAATTGTTTTCGTCAATCAACCGTATTAGTTTTAAATTTTTTACATAATAAAGACGGAAAATTGGAAAAATAAAACTCGCATCTTTTTCAATAATCTGTACATGCGATGGAATTTTATAATACAAAAACTACGCCAATATCCGTCATGCCATGGAATGTCTGCTACAAAACAAAATCAATTCTATCAAAAAGTATTATATTTAGAACAGCGAATTCAGCATAAAGAAAGACCAAATTACTAAAAACAGTTTCCTAATATAACAATTTACAGTAAATGTTCGAATAAGACACCATTAACTGCAAGACAGTAACGAAGTCGATCATAAAATCCATTTCGAACTGCTGCTAATTGATAACTGGATATCTTTTTGTTTTAGAAAATTCCATGGCAGCGCAGATTATTGAAAAAGATGCGGGTTTTATTTTTCCAATTTTCCGTTTTTATTATGCAAAAAATTGAAAACTAATACGGTTGATTGACGTAAAAAATTTTTTTCTACAAAAAACCTTAATACCTTTGGGGAGCCAATAATGGCATGTTATGAATTTTACATTGAAATCCCTATGATGCGTTACGCAAGTCACCACCCTGTATACCCTTATTGAGCCTGTATAACATTTTTGAAAATGTGTTCCAATAACAAATGAAATCAGATTTTGTGAGCATTCTTTGTTGTCAGAGGTTTCATAAAGTGATGACTGGTTATAGTTTGTCGTTTCAGCGCCTTTTATTCATACTTTAAAATCTTGGGAGCGGAATATCACAGAACCAGACTGGTACTATGCTACTATTTTTACATAGCAGACTCTACTAAACTCTAACGGGTTTAAAAGATTCCGAAATGCTTAGAACCACAAAGCCGCTAAAGAACTGACGAATTCGAATGACTTTTTTAGGTACTTCGCTGAGTTGGTTTCAAACATCAGCATCAATATCTTTGAAATAAGAAATAACTTTGTTTAGTGATTGAATCCTCTACAAATTACGTATTATATAGAGATCATACAGGAGTCACAAGCATAAAAAATCCTACCAACATATAAAATCAACGCCTATAATTAGAAACATAATAGTTATTTATGTATTAAGGGCATAATCAAAAGATTAATGGCACGAGAGAATGTTTAAAGCCCGACGAAGGAGGCCATAGTCGATTATGCCCGTGGTACCCACATACAACCTTTTATCCTATTTTAGCACAATTTCTAAAAAGTTAAAAGGTATGAGTAGTTCTTACAGGAATTTGTCGCTAACCAAATATGAGTGGTGTAAGTAGACAGTTGGCGTTTTTTGTGGGGCTATGGATACTGAGACAATTAACTTTTTATCAAACAATTCGCTGTTGGAAACGAATGTAGCTGAAATGGAAAACGTTTATTCTGACGACATATTACTACGTGAATTCGAAATCGCACAAAGTACAGTGGTTCCTCATAAACCCAAAGATCTATATGAAAGAATACCTACAGCAAGTTTTGCGAGTGGCGGTGACCGGTGTACTAAAAGTGTAAACAGAAATTGCGATTTATAGACACTCGTAATGGCGTACTTGTCTCAAATGGTAATATATAATTGCATTTAAATATGAAATACTTATTAAATTATCCTGCTTACTTTGTTGTAGTCGCAAGTTTATAAACCTTCGTCACTTTGGTGCACATATTCCAAGCTAAAAAAATCCTGAAAATTAAAGAAAACGTGGATATCTCGAAATTTCTTATTATTACCGAATACATGAAGAATAATTCGGTGGGCGTTGAAGCAAAGAAGTCTTGGGTACTTCAAAAAAGGGAAATTCGAGATTATGTGTTGGTTCATGTGATGTTATAATTTCTAATCCAAGCAATTGCACTTTTAATTTCTATAAATAACGTGATTGTATGATTGTTCTGAATATTAAATGTTTGATGGTTAAAGTAATCGTTCCTAGACAATTTTTGACACTTCTGTGCCATAAAGTCCAATTAATACCCTCATTTGGGTGCTTATAATAGTTACTTATGTATTAAGGGCATAATAGTGATGTTTATATTCTCGAGGGCCTATGGCCCGAGAGCTTTTTAGTCGCCAGGAGTATAAACATCATTTTATGCTCGTGACATCCCTACACAATTTTATGTTTTACAAGTAGTTTTCTTCGTCAAAATTCGTTTACAAAATAATTCATTATGTTTGAGCGAGTATGCGTGGTTCGAATTTGTTAATGTGATTGAAACTATCCAAACGTCAAACGTAATTTTAAATAATTAATTCAATTCATCGTGAATGAGGAAGAAGTTCCAGAAACTATACGAAATAAGGCCAATCTTGTGATTTAGTAGGTATTGACAATTCATAATTGACGTTTCTAATTTTCAATGACCTGCAAATATTTGTTTGTTTTGTCATTAAGTATAAATGAGTTACTATGGTGATACTTAATGCCCTAGGGCATAAAGTGGTACTTTATGCCCGCGTATCACAGATATAAAATGTGCTATGATAGGTTAGTAAGACATAAAAAGGATTATAATCTAATAGCTATTTATATATCAAGTACATAAACTGGGTCTTTATGGACGAGCCGTTTATTTAGCCGAGCTATCTTGCGAGCGAGGCACAAATAAACAAGGCGAGTCCCCATAAAGCCTATTTATGGACGCGATATATACAAAGCTTTATGTACGACTGCAACAACCCTTAAAAATGAAAATTTTGTGGAATTCAATAAACGATAAAATCTATAGATATATCATTGACAACAGATGTCAAGTATTTCTAAAATACTTGAATTTAGCTTGGATTGACACCTAAGTAAGACTGTCACATTGACAGACGGCTGTTTTACTTTATCATTATGGACTAGGTCATAATATTGCAAATTATGGTCACTAATTGCGACTGTGATCACCGCATTATCAAGCAGTCGTATATAAAATAGAATAAATGATATTTTGTCGGGCATTCTCCCATGGAACAGTACTATAAGGAATCTGCAGCGATGTAGGTATTTTGATTTGTGAATATGCTCCCCGTGTAGGGTCGGGTGTAGAATAACCCTACCGCAGAGACACTGCGTGTCGTAAAAGGCGACTAATCAACGGAAGAGGCGGCGAATCCCCAACCTTTGACATGCATGAGTTCAGAGTTTGATCACAACCGTCGATAAGTACCTACTTATACTAAGTTGGTAGTAGAGTTTTTGATCGAGTTCGACTGAAAGTAAGGAATCGGAAGGGAAAAAGTGAAAAGGAAAAGAAGGAATTTCACAAGTGTCATATATATTTCTTCCTGGTGTCGAGTTTGGCTTTTTTGTTTAGTTTCGACTTTCAGAAAAATTTTATAGAACAAAAGTTGCTCAATCTATGAATCTATCCATTCCAGAGACTTTGTAGTAACAAGAGGCAGAAGAAGTTCATGTACAATGTATCCACAGGATAGCGTCCTGTACGCCTTACACTGAGGCAACACACAATTCCCGTACGTGCCGAATGAAGTTAGTTAGATGTAAACATCTGATTAGGAACATTTGACAACCATATGAAATTAGGAATATAAGTGAGAAATTAAAGTGATGGTTGCTTAACCAATATATCAGATTTTCAGTTTGAAAAAATGGCCGTGATGGAAGGTTCTCTTAGTAAATGGACAAACGTGATGAAAGGGTGGCAGTACAGATGGTTCGTGCTAGACGAAAATTCCGGATTACTCTCCTATTACACTGTAAGTACAAATATTAATATTGTTACGTGCTTGTCAGCGATTTTTTGCGTACGCGGAATACCGACGACTAGCAAGTGTCTTGTTTACAAATTCGGGGGGGTGTAACTCAATTGGATTACGAGTATTATTTTTAATGTTTGTTTTATAGAAATAACCTTGTCCTCCTTTAATTTGCATTTCATTTCAATTATTGTGTTGTCTTTTGAGTACCGTATAATCGACAACATTCGGTACATCTAAGTAGGACTGTGTTAAATTTAAATACCCGTAAATGCCGATTAGGGTCTTTAAAGGAACATAATCGGTTTACTTAGCAATTCCACCTTAATTGTGTCATTGGTTAAAAACAGGCAGATTAGACGGATGATTAGGTTTATTATTGCATTTTTGAAAAACAAGATTAAGCTCTGTTTAGTACTGGCATTAATTAATTAGTCCATCTATTTTTAATTTTGCTAATAATCTCCGACACCAATCCGTATCACTTTCGCTGTATTTTGGAAACTTTGCTAATTTGATTAGATCGAGGTTTAAATATTTAAATTCTTCTTCCGGAACCGCGGTAGTGCCTTATTCGATCAAAAAGGCGATGGTAATCGGTAATGCACGATCATAAAACAAGCATTCGGGTATAAATTCCTCTATACCGGGTGTTCATAAAAGATTGTTGACTATTAATCTTCTGACAATTTTGGAAAGTTGGTAATACTTTGTCGCCTATTTCACATTAAACTACAGGGTACTGAAACGCAAGATATGTATACAGCAAATAGTATTTTCAGAAACATTTCCATAATGAGTTTGCGGAGAAGTTTCCTGAAAGTGATACCAAGATGATTTTTCTGAGAATATTTCTAGGCTTTCCAAGCTTCACAAAGACAGCGTAGTGTGGTTTTATATAATTTTCACATCAACTTCAGGACTTTGATTTTTATCTGTAATATATTTATATTATATTTTCGATTGTATTTATTTAACCTACTCTACATCTTTTATGATCACGAATAAAGTTACACTAGTAAAACATTCAATACTTTCAATATGTACATAGGGCGAGACATAGGGTCTTTTTACGACGATGCCGGGTTTTTCGGAAACGGTAAACGATCATCGGCACTTCTGCCTGGACTTCGTATTTTGCATCGGTAGCACTTTTTGGGAAAAATAAAAATGTCTTTTTTTATTGGAATAATCCTTTAACTTAAAGAGTTGTTTGATTAGAACTTTCATTCATTGATATTTTTTCATAATTAAATTCCACCTTTTGTGTACCTGACACGAAATCCAAATGTAAGAAAATAAGTTATGGGATAACGCTATTCAGTGGCGTTCGTCCAATTACAAAAAACAAAACATTATGTTTTTTTGTTTATTTTATTACAGTGTTTGAAAGGCCGTAAAATCTTGCTTTTCATTTTATAGTTCACGATTTGAGGCTTTTTTACACCACGTTTACATTTTTCCGGTACAACATATAACGTTTTGTACACCAAACGCCCATTGCAAAAATCAACCCGTTAGTACAGGGTGCGGCAAAGCCGACTAAGCAGTTTTGAGGAGCAATAAAAAACAATTCTTTATATTTAGAGACAATGTATTTAAATAATCTGAATTAGTAGTACATACCATTTTACATCCACTTATGTTTTAAAAATAATGTCGCTAAGATGGCGGCCGTTGGCATCAACACATTGTTGTAAATCTTTCCTGAACGTCTCGTCTCTTTGAGGGGTGATGTCGGGTGGCCTGCACGCTCACCAGATTTGAGCATCTGTGATTACTTTCTTTGGGGGTATCTAAAAGAAAAGGTGTTCAAGAGACGACCCCACACCATAGCAGAGCTAAGACAAAGGATTATTGAAGAAGTGAACGCCATACCCCGAGACATTTGTGCAAGAGCTACAGAGAACTTCAGACATCGCTTACAACAATGTGTTGATGCCAACGGCCGCCATCTTAGCGACATTATTTTTAAAACATAAGTGGATGTAAAATGGTATGTACTACTAATTCAGATTATTTAAATACATTGTCTCTAAATATAAAGAATTGTTTTTTATTGCTCCTCAAAACTGCTTAGTCGGCTTTGCCGCACCCTGTATATCACGTTCAGGGATGGCGCTCAAATGTCGAAGATTTATACGGGGTCTGGCAAAAAAGTAGAATGCATCGGAGATATCCATGGTGTCGGGTATGGTGAACTCAAAAGGGGCTTTTCGTGAAATTGAATCAGTAATTGAAACACTACAACATTCTTGACAAAATTCATTAAAATATCAGTCTTAAGTAACAGTTTCTGAGCGAAAATCACAGGTGTTGGGCGTGGATAGACGCCACCATCGTAAAAGACAAATTACTACTCGGCTTCATATATACAATGATTTTGTTCCCTCAATTCCGCCAAAGCCGCGAAAATTAGTTTAACTCTTCATTGGATTAGGTACTACATCCAGTAGCAAATTTCGATTACAAAAATTTTACTGCCGAACGAACACTTTCCCCCCTTAACTTAAATATGCACCAATTTACTACCGACACCAACGTATTTATTTTACGACATAAAAGTGTTCGTGCAAAGCTGCCGTTTATTGTTTCAATTTTTATTTTATTCACTTCATTCCGTGTTAAAAAAATATACAGAAGGAGAGTGTAGGTCGTTACTATCGATGTGTAATATAAACATAAAACGTTAATGTATACGTGTTAGATGCGTTAAGTTTTTTGCGTGCGTGCGTTACTTAGGTATACTTATATCGTAGGATACACATTCAATATTATGGGGGTAAAACCAATTCTTTTATGGCATTTTTAGTGCATTTGCAATTGAACAGTTAACGATATCAGAATTTAGGAACAGAACCAAAAACTGAGATATTCTGCCGAGACACAATTGTACAATCTTAGTAGCTATCGATTCTCCGCCACAGATGTCGATTTCCATCCACCCACGTGCTTAAGTGTGAAGTGTGAAACAATTATGACCGTTTTTCGATGAATAACATTAAAAATTTCAGGACAGATCATCCGGTTTGTAACGGATGTGTTACAAATTTACTTCTCCTACTGCTTCTGGTTAGTTAAATAGGGGGTGGTTTTTATTGTATAATTATATCGGTATGCCTCGGCTGCTCCCCGGTTAATAATCCTCTTCTGAATTCAAGGATAAAGATAAGTCCGATAAGTATGCTCGCACGATTAGGGTGTTATGCGCAGGTGCACCATCCTGTTGAAATTAACAAGTTTCCAACTTTTGTTTTTTTGTGCCGTACATCATAATAAAAATGCTACTTAACACAGCGTGTCCTTTTTTTACGGGCCATATAAAAAAATAAAGTTTCTTCAAAACGAAAAGTTATATTGAAAATCTTTCAACAGTGTCTTATAGAGCTCAAATAGTGGCAGTAGGAAAGCGTTTTTAATTTTTTACATCTGTTTAAATATCATCAGAAAAAATAACAAAATCGGCAAATTCTGGCATCTTTGGAAGTAATCTTAATTTTCTGGTTTTCTTTACAGCAAGATGATTACTTTTTAATTCCCTAATTTGACTATCTTCATAACACAAGAAAGACGCGGAATATATTGCTGGCTGGTTATTGGTACTTCACACAGCTATAGTCGCCTCCACCCTGTATAATAAATTTGTGTGATTTAGCGATCGTTAAAAATTGGCTATGGAGAAATCTTCAAAAAAAAGTTCTTTCACGTTACTACTTTGACTTAAATCTTTGCTGTCATTTGAATATTTTATTGGCTTTGTGTATTCTTATTTCAAAGTTAAAATTTGTGCTCTTCCAATTTATATAGATGTAGGTACGACCGCGTCAATTGAAATTTTATAATTTACATCTCTGAGGTTTCCAATAGAGAAAGTTGAAAGAGGGATAATAATCGCGTTGAAGACGTAATTGCGAAAGTTTGGGTTGAGCAGAACACTGAATTGCGTACACCCAATTTAACAAAAGATCAATAAATCATTTCTTTTGTTTAGTCTACTCATTAAAGTGGATTTGTGTATTCAAAATCGTACGCTCGGAAAATCTGCGTCTGCTTAATGTTCGAAGAGCTAAATCAGACCTCTCAACATATCAGAATCCTCGACTTCAGTAAACATACCAATCAAATATCCACAGTTTTTCGACAGGGCTGTTGAAGTGACAGGGTAAGCCGGCGCATCGCGCATTGACGTAATTTATTGGTTTTTATAAAGGTCTTTCTCCATACGATATTGCGAAATTTATTTGGAGCATCCTCAGAAGTTGATTTTATCTTTCATGGTATTCTCTCAAGAAACAATTAATTTCTACCAACCTCCTCGACCTTTTATCGTGATCGGACACAATTCCTTATATCTCAAGAACAGATTGTTGGAGGAGGTACTCACAAAGACAAAATGAATCGTCTGGATGAGAGATCTCTATTAGTGAAGTCGAAGCAAATATCTTGAAAACGTCGGAAAAGGGTACTCCTTTATGAGTGGTACTCCTTTATGAGTAGTACCCTTTTGCTGCTATTTTCCGGCCCATATAAAAAGACGAAACGTCGCAGTGCAAAATTTGTGGGCACCAAAAGTGCCTACGAGGAAGTGTTATTTGTTTTTTGGTACCTTTTCAAACAGAGCCAGAAAGAAATAAAAACGAATATGGTTCATTTCGGTCGAATATCTTCGGAACTGATCGGAATTTCCGAATTTTTAAAACATATTTTTATTAAGTACTAAGATACATAACTTTTTTCTAATTAACCAGCTGTGTATCTCTTATGGTATCCAATTTTGCGATGCTGTTCATTCTTATCTGGGACATACTGTATTTATTGACATAGCAAAACGCACACGTGCTAATTGCTTTCCTCTTATTAATAAAATAATTTTTTTAATGAAATTGACAGTAACTCGCTTCATTTTTAGGTGTAGACATTGGATAACATCTTGCTGTTTTAATGCCAATCGTAGGAAACATATCGTTTATAAAACGTATCGCTTTCAACGGTGGTTTTGT